CCCCCCCTCGCACTCCTTGCGCCAGGGGAAACGGAGCAGGTGCATCAACCCATGGAGGCGTGGCGTCCTCAGAGTCCAGCCCAGTCGTCATCACAGCCGCTGGCACACCAGGCGTTCGGGTACCCGCAGCAGAGGTCGCCCCAAAGTCAGGCATCACCGCAACATCAACGGGCGCGGCTGCTGTCGCCGCCGCCGCAGCAGCAGCCGCAGCTGTGGCCCTCGCAGCAGCAGCAGCAGCGATGGTCGCCGCAGCAGCAGCAGCAGGTCAGGCCGCTGGCAGCACAGTCGCTGTGGCCGCCGTCGCCCCAGCAGGCGTGGTGGCCGCCGTCGCCGCCGCAGCAGCAGCAGCAGCAGGCGTGGCCCTCGCAGCAGCAGCAGCAGCAGCAGCAGCAGCAGCAGCGATGGTCGCCGCAGCAGCAGCCGATGGGGCCGCCGGCAGCACAGTCGCTGTGGCCGCCGTCGTCCCAGCAGATGTGGTGGCCGCAGCAGCAGCTGCCGTGGTCACTGCAGGCATCACAAGCCTCGTCGCCGGTTCCGCCGCCGGGGCAACAACAACAGGTTCTGCTGCCATTGCTTCAGCAGCAGCAGATGTGGTGGCCGCAGCAGCAGCTGCCGTGGTCACTGCAGGCCTCACAAGCCTCGTCGCCGCTTCCGCTGCCGCAGCAACAACAACAGGTTCTGCTGCCATTCCTTCAGCAGCAGCAGTTGTGGCAGCTGATGCATCGGCACCAGGTGCAACAGCAACATCTGCAGCAGCAGGCATGGCTCGAGCAGTGGGCGCAGCAGCATCAGCTGCAGCAGCAGTTTCTGCAACAGCAGGTCGCGCTGCAGCGCTGGGCGGCACAGCAGCAGCAGCATCTGCTCAGCCAGATGCAGAACGCCCAGTATCTAGCGATCGGGCAGACTCAATCGCAGCACCAGCTAGAACAGCAGCAGTCGAAGCCACCGCTGCAGCAGGAGCAGGAGCAGCAGCCACAACAGCAGCAGCAACCGCCGCCGCCGCAGCAGCAGCAGCAGCAGCAGCAGTCACGCCCCCATTACCAGCAGCAGCGGCCGCTGGCACATGCACCGTCACATCGTCAGGCAATCACGCAGCCCGATTGGTACCAGCAGTTTGCGCAGCATGCGCAGGACGTGCAGCGACATCACTGGCAGCAAAGCACCAACATTCAGCGGCACCGGATTTGGCAGGAATTCGACGCGTGGTGCAGACAGCGTCTGGGTCAGCCAGCAATCCAGAGCAGTCCGAATGACCTGCTGGTGTATGTATGCAGTCACTGGGTACGCAGTCATGGGCGGCAGATGCTGTCCACCGGTGCACGCATCCCCGCCCCCAGTTCGCTCAACGTCATGTTCGCGCATCTCAGCACGCGCTTCGCGGAACTAGGTCGGCGCGGTGACTGGGAGCCAGACACAGGCCGCGGTAACCCTTGCTGCAGCATGGAGGTGCAGACCTTCAAGGGAGGGTACAGCAATCTCATGCAAGAGGCCGGGTTTCAGCCGCATGCAGTGCGGCCCCTGCCTCACTGGAAGCAGCAGGTGCTTGTGGCAGGGCTGGAGGCGGAAGCTGATGCAGTGCGTGAGTCCGGAGACCAGCCCTGGCACGTGGAGGCGCTGCTACGGCGCGACGCGGCAGTGGCGGAGCTGCTGTGGGACAGCCAGCGACGGCCTGCAGAGATTGGGCAGCTTCGAACAAGCACAACAAGCATCGCAGGGGGTCAGCTGCGCGGCGAGGCCAGCAGCAGCAAAATGACACATGCAAGCAGAGGCGCTCGGCGGCCCCGGGCAATTGAGGTACAGGGAGACGCCGGCACCAACCTGTGCAGGCTGCTGGAAAGTTATGTGGCGTGCCTGCAAAGGCATGGCAAGGAACTGGGGGCCTTCTTATTCAGCCCTCTGCAGCGGGACGGCAGCAGTTTGGACGGCAGCCGCGGGCTCAGCAGCAGCGCGATGACTAAGCGCGTGGTGGGGCACCTGCAGCGGCTGCATCTGTATGCCGGCGAGACTGTGTACAGCCTGAAGCGTGGGTCCATGCAGTATTCTTTTTATGTACAGGGTCGTACTATGGAGGCGATCGGTGAGGCCGCTGACATTGACACCCCTGCAGTGGTGCAATTGTATCTTGACCCGCACAGGCATCTGTAACAACTTGCATATGCTGGGTTTTATTCGTATTGTACAAGGTATGCCCAGAGGCCAGCGGACAGCGCTGCGCACCGGCGATCGGGTGGGGGAGCTCTGGGCCCCCACAGCAGGCAGGTCCCTGGCAGCTTGTGCTTGGCCTTAACAGGCAGCAGCTGCAGCTGGCCGCTCCACACGGCCCACCAGGCAGGCAGTATGAGAATGCATGAGGCGCGATCCGCAATGACCTTGGCGAGTACTCGAGAAATGATAGTATGGGGTGGGCAGATGAGGCCCAGCTGGCCGGGCTCAAGCAGCCAGCACGCATCAAAGGCGTCAGCGCCAGCGGCGCCAGCCACGGGGAAACGAGTGTAAAACCGGGGCGCCTTCGCGCTCCAGGGGGCAGCAAACCAGTCGACTGAAGGGGCCGGGCAGCCCAGAACGGACAGGAGATGCGCAAAAACAGGTGGCGCGACTGCCCAATCACCGACATCCTCGCATTTGGACAGGTGGTCCGCATACTGCAGGCGGGGGTCCTCCCGTGGGCGCCACTCTATGGTCAGATCAATGTCGTGCGCCGCCAGCCGCTCGTAGAGCAGGCGCACCTGCTGGTAAATGGGCTCAGGGCCCCGCATGTTTTGGACATCTCGGACCGCCACCTGGCTATCTGAGAGTATATGCAAGCGGCCGTGCTGCAGGTGATCGCGCCACGCAGGGATGCTCAGCAGTGTGTCAACCAGCTGGACCATTGCCCCAACTTCTCGGCATCCACTAGACTGCAGGTGCAGCTCGCGGGGAAGCTCAGCGGCCAGCGACACCCGCACGGTGGGCGCTGTGGTCACCACGGCCGCCCCGCCCGCCCCGGTGGCCGAGGCGTCAGAGACCAGGACTGCGGCCGCGCTGCGCGACCACCAGCGCCTGCCATTGTGCGCGGGTACGTACTCACGCAGCCAAGCCAGGAACTCGCGAAGCTCCGCGGACGGGGTGAAAAGAGAGTCCCAGTCGCACACACCCGTCAGGGCTCCAAACAGGGTGTGAGTGAAGAGGCGGCCCAGGGGAACTGCACATTGGAAGCTGACCAAAAGGCCTGCCAGCCTGGCCAGCTGGCGGCGGGAAAAATGATCCGATGTGATGAGAGAGTGCACCAGGTCGTCAAAGCCCTGCAGTTTGTCGGCGGGAATCAGCACGGCGCCCTGGGCCAGATCTAGCATCATGCCCTCGTAGCGCACCGCCGGGTTGGGCCCCAGCCTGCACTTGCGCAGGCTCAGGTGGCAGCCCAGGCTGCAGAGAATGCGAACGAACACTGAGGCGCCGAGGCAGGCGTCCACCATGCGGCGCCAGAGAGTGAGGGCATCATCAATCATGAAACTCAGTCGCCAGCCCGCCATGCGCATGGGTAGGTACATGGCCCGCATCACAGAGGAAAAAGCCCACACTGCTGATTGCAGCCCAAAGGGAAGCGCCGAGAACACGTAGGTGACGCCATCAAACCGAATGGCAAGGAAGCGGCGGGCGGACGGGTGCAAGCGCATGTGAAGGTAGCCCTTGGTGAGGTCGGATGCCGAGACGAGGTCGCCCCGCTGCAAGAGGGGAAAGACATTCTGCAGGAGCTCAAATGTGACTGGACGGTACGGCTCAAAGATGTTGGTGTAGTTGGCATCAATGCAGAGGCGCAGGGCGCCAGTCCCTGGCTTTTCTGCCACAGAAATGGGGTGCACCACCGCGGGGCCGTGCCGCGCAAGGTCGTGCACCTCCAGCGCCGAAACGCGCACAAACATGGCAACCTCGGTGCGTACAAAATCAGCATGCTTGTCCGCTGATGGATGATTGGGAAACACAACTGGTTGGGGCTGTGAACCTCGCAGGAGCTCATCAGCTCTGGCAGCGCCGACCGTCCGCCTTAAAGCTTTACGCGCGCGCTCGAGGCGCTCCCGAAACCGAGGGTGTGCTTGCTGCATCTGCACAGGTTGGAAAGTCAGAGGGTAGCCCTGGGACAGCCATGGCAACACCTGGCGGACAACCGGGTGCTGAGCGCAGTGGGAAAGCTCAAAGTATCGCTCCCAGAGCGGGAAATGCGTGTGGAAGGAGCCAGCCACAAATGAGTCACCAGTCAAGAGGGCCGGCTGGATCTCCGCCATCCAACGGTCAGTATCCCAGGTCACCCGTGCATCGGCACATTGTGTGAAGTTCTGGAGGTCGGACACCGCCGCCGTTAACTGAGCCAGGAGGCGCGCCGGGGATCTGTCTGCGGGCAGGCCAGGGGCAAGCTGGAACGCACTGTGGGGATCAGCAGCGCCCCCCTCCAACAGCCCCTCGGCGGAGGGGCCGCCAGCAGGGACGGCCCCCGCCGCCACCATGGACAGCCACATGTTGTCGTCTGCGGTTTCGTCGGGCAGGGGCTCAAGCGCCGGGGGCGGGGGGACGAGGAGGTCCGTATGACGGCGCAGGGAAGCCGGGGGCGTCCGGGGCCGCGCGCTTGACGGCGCCGCGGCGAAAGTTGCCATTCTCGTCGCGCTGGTATCCAGCCGCCGCGTACACCGCCGCCTTGGCCGCATACTTGGCTGAAGGCTGGCCGGGAATGTGCGACGCTGCTTCTGGGCAGTCTGCATGGTAGCATGAACCCTGCTTGCCAGACCAAAAGGCGCAGCCAGGCTGGCCGGGCCATGGCTGCGTCCGCCGCCGCACGCACGGACCCGAGCTGCGGTGCCGTTCCGGCCGCACCCGTCCACGCAGCCGCCATGCGCGCTGCTGGTGCCTGCTGCTGTCGGGAGCCACTGGCAAGCTGTTGTATTTGAGCCTGCTGCCCCTGCATCAGCGCCACCATGCCCTGGCGATCAGACGCTTCTGACAGCTTGCTGGTCATGTCCTGTACTGCCCACTCAAACTCAGGCAGCGTGGCAAACGCCTGCTGCAGCTGGCTGAGCAGGTCGGGCCCGGTGAGTGTCGCCTGCAGGCGGGCCCATGAGCGCTTGGCCGCCATTGTGGCGGCTGGGCTGATGCTGTACAGGGGTACCACCACCTGGTTCAGGACAGAGTCCCAAAACAGACTCTGGTCTGGTACCAGCAGCAGAGCAGGCGACAGGCGTTCACACAGGCGGCCAGCTGCCTGGTTGGCCCTTGTCTCTGGCTCCCACACGCCCGTCACGCCCACCGGGCGGGCAGATGTGGCCATCTCTGCCACAAGCCGCCGCAGCTGATCTCTGGCCTGCTGCAATCTGGCCCGGGCATATGACAGGTGAGGCTGGTCCCAGGCACCGAGGGTTGGATCCTGGAGCTGATACTGCGTGGCTGCAGGCGTAGTGAAGGTCGGGCCCATCGGCCAAGGCGGTGCCGCCGCTGACCCGAACAAGCCCTGCTGTTGGAAGTGAGCAGCCCACGGTGCTGCCGCCATTGCAGCCGTTGGAGAGTCCTGTGGGCCAGAGGGGCAGACGCAACCAAGCCCAGCGTGACATCAGTGCTGGACAGGGCGCTGGGCCCATTCTGGGCCCATTCTGGGCCCATTCTGGGCAGGTATTCTGGTCCCGAGACGAAGTAATACTGGGCACAGGAGCAGTTTCAGGATACTGAAATCTGTCTCAGGTTCAGCAGCTCTGGTCACTGAGGCAAACAGAATCCACAGGACGGTAGAATTAGACGCAGGAAAAAAGACACATAGCACTTGAAGGCGGCAGCTGATGCACAGTTGCTGAGTCTGTGCTGTGGGCTAAGCAGCACACCTGGTAGACAGGAGGAGTAGGTCGCCAGGGTGGCGCTGCCGCCACTGCAGCTGCTGGAGACTCCTGTGGGCCAGAGGGGTGGATGCAGCAGAAACAGAACAGACACGACATCAGAGATAAACAGGGGCGCTGGGCCCATTGCATGTGACTGGGCTGTCCAGTCCATGCACTGATCAGGCAGGCGAGCCGGCCCTGAGCCAGCACAGAGCTGGGCCCTGAAGCAGATTCAGGATACTGGAACGTGCCGCAGGCGCAGCAGATCTGTGCCCTCTGAGGGCCAGGAGGCATTGTCAGGATAACGGACCCGCACAGACGGCACAGCAGGCTGAGTCTCCTAGGGACATGTCACACCCGAAAGAATGACGTGCAGTGGGGACCAAGGCTGGGCCTGCTGGGGTCAGAGAGACTTTCACCTGATGAGCTGGAGCATCAGGGGCCGCTGTAGACGTACTGGGTCCAGGCTGGGGCGCGTCTCCGCCGCTCCTCGCGACAGGGCAGAGGGACCGCCTACCGGGATCCTCGGACAGCGCCGCCACCCATGCTTCTGCTTCGGGCTGGGAGCCTATGGCAGGCTCGGGCAGGCTGACCTCGACGTCCTCTATTAAAACGGCGTACTCGAACCACTGGCGCGGTCCGGACCAGACGGGTGCCCGGTGCGGAATTAGCTGCAGCGCGCACACCTGCGCTGACCCGGTGCTACCCAGCAACACCGTAAACAGTTGTGAGTCATTCCCAGGCCCAAATTTCGGGCCGCGGCTGGACATGGTTGCAGAGATCACACGAGACTCTGGTCCGTCACCGAAAGTTTCGGGAGACCTGTCAGGCTGCGCACAACGCGCCTCGGTGCCTGGCCCTGAAAGCAGAACAACTG